ATGATTAAATTACAAGAAACATTTAAATCTTTAAAATTAATTTATAATTGGCTTAAATATTTGAATAACAAGAAACAGTAATAATATGTCAATTCAAAAGATATATGCAAGGATATTTAATAAATTAAAATTAAATATTTACCACAACACTACTATTTTTAATGTTCCTTCTTCAGACTAATTAATCAATAAATATCATTTAATCAGATGATCATTATCATCTTTACAAATATTTTCTAACCATCCATAAGCCTATTGAAAGACATTATTTTTAAGTTCATCCAATATTGTATCCTGACTTTGCTTTTATTCCAAATTGCGCACACAACACAAAAAATTTCTAAAGATCTAAATAATTAGAAATCACGACTGCTAATTAATATTCTACCTTTCAATTCTATTCAATTACCCAGATATTTAGACTTTTGAACTTATTTTTTTTACTTTATTTCCATAAATATTGATTATTAATATCTGTAGAGACAAAGACTATTCCATATAATTATATTTAAAAGTTTCTGCTTTTACATAATTTATTAAGAATTATTTCTTCTTTCGAATAACTTTCAAATATATTTGATTTTAACTTTAGACTAAATTTTTTCCACTGATTAAAAACCCAAATTTGAAATTATACATTTTAAGTTGCTTTTGTAAATAAAAAGTAATTGAAAAATTACTTTTTATGTTTAACAAATGTGTCTTTAAATACTCTTAATATTTTTTTTTACATTCAAATATTTAGATCTTCTTATAATAATTGAAATTAATATTCAGACTTTCTTCCTTTTTCACTAATTCTATTAGAAACATTCTAAAATTATAAATGTAAAATATACATGTTAAATATGTAAAAAGATATTTGAACTTGTATTTAGGCATAATAATCAGTAATGTTAATTTTCGATTTTTAAACTTGAAAAATATTCTAATTTTTTAATATTTAATTCAAGTAAGAAATAACCACAAATATATAAAAATTTTCTATTTTCAATTTATACAGATCTCAGAATTATTATTAATTATAATTTAAGAGTAAATTTTATTGATTAGAGGTAGAAGAAAAGGAGGTTGATGCCTTACATATTTGGTAATTATAAATAAATAATTAAGAGGAATTTTAGATTTAGATTAGAGTATAATGAAAATTAACCTAACTTAATTTTGTAGGAATAATAATATTAAAGGTGTAATTACAAATACTATATTAGATAGAACAAGAAAAACGATTGCAATGAATATACTTCTTTGATTCTTTCAAAAAATTTAAATCTATTATTTTATTAAGGGGGTAAAAGTCTTAATAATATATAAAAAATAGTAATAGAAAATACTTTAATAAATAATGTTTGCAGGTGGTGCGGATGCATATTTCAACAGAGGTGTATAATCTAATAATATAACTAGGAAATCTATTTAAATAACAAGGAGAAAAAGAAAAAGCCCTTCAAGACTACAACTAGGCTATCAAATTAAAGCCAAATGATGCTAGTATGTTTTTCAATAGAGGTATATAATCTAGCAATACAATTAGGAAATCTATTTTTTGAACAAGGAGAAAAAGAAAAAGCTCTCCAAGATTACAATATGGCCATAAAATTAAATCCAAATGATGCTAATATGTATTTCAACAGAGGTATATAATCTAATAATATAAATAGGAAATCTATTTAAATAACAAGGAGAAAAAGAAAAAGCTCTCCAAAACTATAACATGGCTATCAAATTGAATCCAAATCTTGCTGAAGCGTATCACAACAGAGGTATATACTCAAGTAATATAAATAGGAAATCTATTTTCAGAGCAAAGAGAGAAAGAAAAAGCACTCCAAGACTACAACACGGTCATCAAATTGTATCCAAATCATGTTAATGTGTATAACAGCCGAGGTAAATAATCTAGCAATATAATTAGGAAATCTATTTTTAGAACAAGGAGAAAAAGAAAAAGCACTATAAGACTACCACACGGCTATCAGATTGAATCCAAATTTTTCTATTGCTTATTTCAACAGAGGTATATAATCTAGTCATATAATTAGGAAAGCTTTTTTCAGAGCAAGGAGAAAAAGAAAATGCACTCCAAGACTACAACACGGTCATCAAATTGAATCCAAATCATGCTAATGTGTATAATAGCCGAGGTATTTCAGCTAGTCATATAATTAGGAAAGCTTTTTTTAGAACAAGGAGAAACAGAATAAGCATTCCAAGACTACAACACGGCCATCAAAATAAATCCAAATCATGCTAATGCATATATCAACAGAGGTATATAATCTATTCTTATAATTAGGAAAGCTTTTTTCAGAACAAGGGGAAAAAGAAAAAGCATTCCAAGACTACAACATGGCCATCAAATTGAATCCAAATTATGCTAATGCGTATCACAACCGAGGTACTAAATCTTGTCATATCATTAGGAAATCTATTTTTAGAAAAAGGGGAAAAAGAAAAAGCCTTACAAGACTACAACATGGCCATCAAATTGAATCCAAATTATGCTAATGCGTATCATAACCGAGGTAAAATCTTTTCAAATAATTAGGGAATCTTTTTTCAGAGCAAGGAGAAAAAGAAAAAGCACTCCAAGACTACAACACGGTCATCAAATTGAATCCAAATCATGCTAATGTGTATAATAGCAGAGGTATTTCATCTAGTCATATAATTAGGACAGCTTTTTTTGGAACAAGGAGAAAAAGAGAAAGCACTCCAAGACTTCAATGTGGCCATCAATTTGAATCCTAATCATGCTAATGCGGATAATAACCTAAGTAAGTATTTCTTATTTAAATTAGGAAATCTATTAATAGAACAAGGAGAAACAGAATAAGCACTCCAAGACTACAACTAGGCTATCAATTTGAATCCAAAATTTGCTATTGCGTATTTCAACAGAGGTATTTAATCTAGTAATATAATTAGGAAATCTATTAATAGAACAAGGAGAAAAAGAAAAAGCACTCCAGGACTACAACATAGCTATCAATTTGAATCCAAAATTTGCTATCGCGTATTTCAACAGAGGTATTCATTTTAGTAGTATCATTAGGAAATCTATTAATAGAACAAGGAGAAAATGAAAAAGCACTCCAAGACTTCAACGTAACCATCAAGTTGAACTCAAATCATGCTGACGCGTATCACAAAAGAGGTAAATAATCTAGCAATATAATTAGGAATTCTATTAAAATTGCAAGGAGAAAAAGAAAAAGCAATTCAAGACTACAATACGGCCATCAAATTGAATCCAAAATTTGCTATTGCGTTTTTCAACAGAGGTATATACTATAATATTATATTTAGGAAATCTATTATTTGAATAAGGAGAAAAAGAAAAAGCACTCCAAGACTTCAACGTGGCCATCAAAATGAATCCAAATCATGCTAATGCGTATAATAGCAGAGGTAAATAATTTTGTAATATAATTAGGAAATCTATTTTTAGAACAAGGAGAAATAGATTTAGCACTCCAAGACTACAACATAGCTATCAATTTGAATCCAAAATTTGCTATTGCTTATTTCAACAGAGGTATTTAATCTAGTAATAGAATTAGGAAATCTATTTTTTGAATAAGGAGAAAAAGAAAAAGCACTCCAAAACTACAACATAGCCATCAAAATGAATCCAGATCATGTTAATGCGTATAATTGCCGAGGTAAATAATCTAGCAATATAATTAGGGATTATATTTAAATAACTAGGAGAAAAAGAAAAAGCAATGCAAGACTACAACGCTGCCATCAAATTGAATCCAAATCATGCTGAAGCATACCACAACCGAGGTACTACATCTTGTCATATAATTAGGAAATCTATTTTTAAAACAAGGAGAAAAAGAAAAAGCCCTTCAAGACTACAACAAAGCTCTCCAATTAAAACCAGATTAGCCACTTTTTCTTACTAACTAAGGAAGTCTTTATTTTTAATAAAAACAATTTGATAAAGCAAATATATCTTTCATAAAAGCGCAATCATTGTTAGATTAGGCTAATGAATAAATATTTTAATGGAATTTATCTTAATCAAATGTTACTTATATTAAGAAAGAACTCAACCTACTAAGAGAAATTCAAATTTAGATATAAACAACAGATCTTTAACTTGAATTTATATCCTAAGGTTTATAAAAAAGGAAGAGTATTGAATTAATGGAATAAGCATCAATAATTGTAAATGAATTAGTAGAAGATATAAAGCCAATAGATACCTTATCAATTGAAGAACTTAATTCAGAATAAATTTAAATCTTTTTAAAAAAATTAAACGATCTTTAAAATCAAATATTATCATTAACATTAAATGTCAATTAACTTTTAGAATAAGATAATTTTAAGGTTTCTGAATTTCTAAAAGAATTAAATAAAGAAAAAAATAGAAACTAATAGATGTATTATAATGCTTTAAATTGGAGATTATTTAATTATTTATCTGCAATGCAATAGATTTCCACTAATCTATTTTAAATTAATAGTAGTACAGTAATCGAAAGTAAATCCGAAAAAACTTTAAATATTTTTCAAAGAATGTTAAATATAGGATCATAGATCTTTGGAGGATTACCTATTATTGGGAATGCTTTTAACATAATTAATGCTGCTCTCGATTTTGGATTTGAATAACATAAAGAGCATAAATTTACTGCAAGATTAAAAAAATTAAATAATATTTTAAAATGTAGTTCTATAGTTCCTGGCCAATTATAAATAGAAATATAAATTGCAAGCTAAGAATTAAGTAATAATTAATTAAATAATTTGATTGATAAACCACAATCAAGATTTAGGAGGTTTGCAGATTAATTATTGCAAGAAGAAGATAAATAATTCAGAGATAATATTTATTGGGCAGCTTGCATTGATTATTTTAAATTATTTGGAAATAAATAGTGATAGGATAATGAATGAAATATTTAGCAAAAAAGTAAAGTTAAGGTAGATAATTGTCTAAGCAATCAAAGAATACAATGAGTTATCTGAAAACAAATCGATATAATAATTTGAGACCAAAAATGGAAACAACGTTAAAGTAGCAGATAAAAGTTCATTATGTATTGTTTAATGAACAATATCAATATGCAATAAAATCATAATTAAAAATTATTTATAAATGAAAATGAATAATTACCTCCCTTTTGTTAGACTTCTAAATATTATTTCTTTAAAATTTCTGTAACATTATTCTTACCTTACATATAAATATAATCTTTACAGTAATTTGAAAGTTGGTTGTAAAGACATAGAAACAATCATTATATAAAATTCTCTTTTTTTATCTTCAAATACAAATAAACTTATTAGGATTCTTTTTATTCAGCTATAGCATTAAAGAATTTTAATTAGTGATAATTAATTAATACAAGTTTTATCTTCATTTAAATATTTTTTGTTACTCAAGTATCTTCTTTGTGAAACCAATAATATGATGATGTTTTAATTTAATTTACAATAATAAGTTCTCAAGATGAAATTTAAAAGTTTGATATTCTGTATTAATCACATATTTATTTATAAAGATGATCTTTAATTTGATTTTTTGTGAATTTTCAACAATGAGTTTGCATATACTGTGCTTTCATTAAATAATAATAGTAAAAATAAGTTCTAACAGAGTTGTTCTAATAATTCACTAAATGAACGGCGGAATCTATAAATATTATTATTTTTAATCTTGTTATTGATTGATATCAAGATATCAATGCTAATAGATGATAAGTGCAAGGCTATATGTATATTCATATATTTAAGAGACGGTTCCATACATATAGATAATCTTTTATATAAAGATTAAAAATTGAAAAGTGAATCATGAAAGCAGACATTACCAGAATTACATATAAAAAAAATAAAGAGTTCATAATATTAATACAAAAATGTAAATGTACATCATTTAATAGCCATATGATGAGATGATCTTAGAAAAAAAAATTAATGAAATACTAATTTCATAAATTTTTAGATAAATATATTTAAGTGTAGAGAGATAAATTTGAACATCAAGTAAAATAGAGTATTTATTTTTGGTAAGGTCAAATCAATACTTAATTGGCTTAGGTTAGACAATTCCAAAATTTCTACATTAAATAGATATTGAAAAGAACACTATTTATCAAAGAGCTTTTTAAAGATTTAAGTTAAGATAGATTGATATGGCTTATCTTTTATTTGAGATTTAGAAGTTTAACCGAATTCTATTATTAACTTTAAAACCTCATTTCAAAAAAAAGTATATTGACTTAGCCAAACAAAATTATTCAAATATATTCATGTGATGTTCAAATTTTTAGGTCTTGTTATGGGGAGTATAATTAGAGAATATTGAGTATTTTCAGAAATTTATTTAGCAAATAATAATCAAATGTTTTATTTAAAACCAAGTTAAATAAATCATAAAAATATTTAATGAATGATATTATTTAAGCCAGTCCCAAGTAATGTCATTAATTACTAAAAATCTGAATAAATAGAGATATTTATATATTTAAACAATATTATACTATAATGATTAATTATAATGATAAAACCAAAAATAATTCAATTAATATCATTATTAGAGATTTTTTCATTCCTTAATAAATTTAATAACCTATTGTTACCTCATCATTTTTCATTATTCAATTTAGTTTCTTATGATAGTGATTGCTCTTATTTTTGTGAATTAAATTGTTATTTAATTTCAATAATAATGAATCTAAATATTTAAATCTATTTCTAATTAGATTTATAAGTTTGATTTTATTTCTAATTAAAAAGAAAAGATTGCACAAAAGTTTTTTTATGAATTACACCCAAAAAATACAAACCTAATAATTATTAATTAACAAAGGATGATTCTTAAAAAACTTTTTAGCATGTTGGAAAATTTATATTTAATTATGATAAAGTACATAATCGATAATAATCTAGTTGATTTATTTGTCACCAAAACTACATTTAGATTGAATAAAACCTTGAAAATTGAAGTATCTTAGCTTTAAATTTATTTATTACTGATAGAATTTATTTTGTTAGAATGATTTCTTTAAGTAACTTGGAATTGCAATCCAGGTGAATCTTAAGTTAATGTTTTTATATATGGATTGTTAATATAATTGCATAAATTGCACAAATAATTATGCATTATGAAGTATGTTAGCCAGATTTTTATGATTTTTAAACACAATGTCTTGCTCATTAACTTGGATGCCAAGTTTTTAATATATTTAATGTATATTATGACCTCCTACATTTAAGTAAAGGCCTTACTCAACTGCTTTCATAACTTTTCCTATCTCGCTTCAACTGTTCAACTTACTTTGATGATAAATAAATAATACTGAAAATAAATAGATTTATAGTTTGTGCTACCTGTTCATCTTTTACTTGTATTCTAAATATTCAAATATATTCTGTATACAGAATATGTGAAACCTGTTTGGATGATGCTTTCTGCAAGACTTTTGAAAATACTATTAGTACTTGAATATCATAATATGATGGAAAATACTTTTGGAATTCACAATGTTTTCCATTTTTTTTATGAATATGCCAACATCCTCTACTGGTTTTGGTACTTTGATTGACATCAATAAACCAGCAATCAATTTTTTATGTGTTTGAGCTAACGAATATACAAATAATGGGTCAAATTAATGCTAACTTTGTACTGCCCCATGTACAAAGAGTGAATATAATTCTAATTATTGTACAGAGGGCATTTCTACTTTACATTAATTTATAATATAGATTATCACTGAGATTGCTTCCCTTGTTATTTTTCTGTTGATCCTCATACATATTAATAATTTGTAAGTCTTTGCTAAACTTGTGAATAGAATGAGAAACATTTGATTAACTTGAGCAGATATTAATTAAGTACTCATTAATTCGCATTTAAGTGTTTGTGATATAATTTGTATTTCAAATGCTGATGGTATAATTTACATCAAGTGTTAATAACCATTTGAAGGGATACAATCTATGTTCTATTAGTAGATGTTTAAAATGTATTAATTATTGATATTTGCTATAATCAAAGTTGTGGAATTTTAGTTTTCTACTAAATCACCTTTCGATTCACCGGTAGGTCGAAGTGCCAGATACTGTAATGGATGAAGAATAGTTAAGACTTGTTATCTAATATGGTGTAAGATTATATCATTTGATCAAGAACTAAAAGAAGTGACAAAAAGCTTTTATTCTCGTTAATTACTAGATCATTCAGAAGTCCTTTAAATATTGAATGTTTATGGGATAAAAGTTCTAGTATCTACAGGATCTTTAATATTAATCCTATTGCCTATCTAATAAGATATTTAAGAATTCTAAGAGGGTTCCCATTTTCAGATACTATATATGATACAATAAATTAAATAAATAATCTAAAATTTTTTTCTATCAAGAATTAGTTTTACAATATATCATTTTGAGTATTAATTAAATAAGCTATTTTCAATCTATCTATAATATTTAAAGAAATTAATTACGTTTACATTTATAACAAAAGGAATTTTTATTTTGCAATTTTAGCAAGAATCAAAATTAGAAGGAGAATCAGTATTAGTCCTAGGTGAAAAAGCAAAAATAAATTATTTCTAGATATATATGCTATGGCCAGAATTTTATGAGAGAAAATCATATTAAAAAGAGAATACAAGATTTTTAAAGATTGAAGAAAATAAATGCATTAAATGAAATTGAATAAAGATAATAAAGGTTTTAGAACAAGATCAATATTTTGATAATACAAATAAGAATTAACATGTTAAATGCTTCTTTTGACTTTTCTACAAAAAATATAATAAACACTATTGAATGTAAAACTTAAATTCAATATGTTCATAAATTAATTTTTAGATAATTTTGTTATTTGTGTTAGTTTGATGATAATATTGTCAATGACTATAATAATCATATAAGATATTAAAACTGTCTTACTGAAAATTCACTTTCAGTTTTCAAATTAGCCAAATTTGCAAATTTAAGTATTAAAAATAATCAAATAATTGTGAATCTCCTAATCTTATATAAACTTAAGTGTATAAATCTTCAACAATAGCCATAAATTCTAAAAAACAATTAATTTTTTTTAATCTACTCATAAATTCTAAGCTTAAACTAACTGTTCTGATATACTTTTAATGCATCAGGTGTATTAATTTAGGTAATACAAAATGGTAATAATACATCATCTACTTAAAAAATGAAAACGATATATCCCTTCTTTTAATAATTAACATTAAAGACCAAAATGCGTAGTAGAATAGCATTTTAATTTGAGAATTAAAGAATTGAAACTATGTCAGCCTATAAATATTAATATACTTGTACAAGCTTCATTAAAACAAAAAGGAATAAATAAATAAATTCTGGCTTATTCAAATATGATAAAAATTATAAAGTTATTTTAGGAAATTAATACTTAATGCAGTCTAAGTCGTCAGCATCTTTATTCATAAATAATTTTTTATAGATAATTTTTGTGGCTCTAATTTTTAAGATTTTATAAATATTTTTGGACTTTTTAAAATATCATTGAATAATATTCTAATAATTCTAATTTATTAAATGTTATGATGATATTAAATTCCGCATTTAATACAGGATCATCTGCCAAAAATTTCAATAAAATTCTAGTATTATTTTTCCAATATTTTATAATTAAATTCATGAACATTTATGTAATTATGATATAAATAACTAAGAGTTAAAATTTTGATATTGATGGAAATAAAATAAGACGAGACATAACGACAGTATAAAACCTAAAATTCCTAAAAAAATCTAAAAGAGACAGTTTCAATCTTTTTCTTTAAAAGAAACAAAATATATTAAAATTATTTATAATTACTATTCCAATTTTTTAATTTAAATTTATTCAAATTTGCTTTAACCTTATTTTTACTAAAATTTGACAGATAAAGAAATGTATGAAGTAGAACCGAAATCAATTATTGAAATAAGATTGCTATCAGGATTTCATTTGAATAAAATTTTGCCTTCAAAGCAGTTGAAAAAGATTATCAAAAAAGATATTGCTGACTCATTTGCTCTAGCTGTAGGATCTAAAAATACTATAGCTTTGTAAAGTAAACCAAGAAGAGAATCAGCAATAGGAGATATAAAAGGGGAAATTTACACATTTAATGATTTCAATTAGGTAACAAAAGATATTCCTAATCAATAAGTAAATGATGTAAGATCCAAGAATTGAATGAATAAACCTTTTTAAATCTGTTAGCAAATCATTTTATAAATATATTTCAAATTAATCATTTCTTATAATTATTGTTATTGATAGGAAATTCTTATAATTGATTAAAATATTATTTTCTCTCCTCCTCAAATATTTTTTTTTGTTTTTATTTTAAATAACTATTATATACTTTCAGGATTTATTATAATAAATCCAAAAACAAATTTAAAGCTAATATTGTACAAAATAAACCTATATGAACCCAACCTATAATAATTAAATGATCTTAGCTAAATTAAAAACTGTAAAGTAAAAAAGTTCCTGTAATAAGCATTAATAAAAACTCTTTGAATATTATTTTAGAAAGTTCAAATTTAGATTTCAAAGGTTAAAACCTAATCAAATAAATCCCAAAAAAAGTTGATTGCATTGATATTAATATTGATTAGGCCTCTGGATAATTGATTAATTTCACAATTATTAAGATAAAAAAAATAACTCTGAAAATTTAAAAGGATTTATATTGAGCAGCCCAAAATGGGCTTTTAGATTCATAAAAAAAATATTTCCATTTATTATAATTTTTTATTTAAGTTGAAGTAATTGAAAAAAATGGATAAATTGTCTTTAGTAAGAACAATAATCCAAAAACTGCGTTAACGCTGCTGAAAATTTCGATTGGAGAATTAAAAGGATAATTTGGAAATTCTATCAATAAACTAAAGATGGTCTAATGTAGAATAGCTTGAAAGACCTTAAAAACTCCTAGTGAGAAGTATTCAATTTTAAAAAGTAAGCAATTTTTTTAAATTGTTTTTTAAAACTTATTTATTAACTTTAGGATTTTTAAATTATCTTAATATCTATAAGTTATTTTATCAACAATATTGAAGAAAAAATTTGAAACTAGGATATTGCAAGTCATATAAGCTAATATGGAAGCAAAAACAGAAAAGTAGCAACTTTTTACATTAAGTAGATACATCTATTTTAGAATATTTATTGTATCTTGATAAGATGTTTCATCTATTTGATTCTATTTTTATCCTTAATTTAAATTTGTCAAAAATTAATCTATATGGAAATAATTAAAAATGGGTTACAACGAGATTTTGGTATAAGTGTTCAAAAAGGCATATAAGTGTGGTGGAAATTTATATTACATAAACCTCAAATATGATAAAGATTATAATAAATCTAACAAATTAAATAAAATAATTGGATTTCCTGTTACCAAAGCCAAACTTGATACTCCAGCTAAGGAATACATCATGGCATCATTTAGTTAAACAATAGATATTAATTATTATTTAGTTGTTCCCGAGAGGACAAAAGGGGTTTCAAGATTTATAGTTTTTTAATTTTTCTACAAAACTAGTTCATAGGAATTAAATATAGAATTTTCATGTATGTCAACCTGTAAAATAGGGTTTTATGTAGGTTCAATAAATTCAATTTGAACCAAATATTTAGGATAGCTTAGGGTAGTTGTTAAATTTGAAATTGTACTGATAGTTAATTGATATCTAGTTTATGGAATAATTGTAAATACAATAAGTTATTCAAAATTAAGAGAATCCTTCATTTTAACTAATTCTGTAAAAGTCAATTCAACAATTTGGTTTTATTTCATATTATCAGATACAATTTTCAAATTAAATTCAGGAGCTTTAATAAATGTACATAAACTTAATGAGCTTTACTAACTTATACATTGGTAAGAATCCTCAATATTACAATATGTAGAACATCCATCTCCTCCATAATTATTTCCATCATCACATTCTTCATATTGATTAATTAATACTCCATTTCCACATTAATTAACACATAAATGATCAATTAATTTTTGATTTTCTCCGCATCTTAAATTTGTATAAGACTATAATTTTTAAATCTCAATGTCTAAATCATTGTCATCGAAGTAGTTTTTTTCTTTTAGGCATTTAGTTGTTTAAATATCCAATGTATAATATTCATCACATTTCTAACATTAAGATAAAAGACATTCAATACAGCCTTCTGAACATTAAAATTCACACTAATAGCAACCATCATATGGAATATCATTACCATCATCGCATTATTCATTCTAGCTAGTAACAATACCATCACCGCAAAAATTTACACATTAACTGGAGAAACATTTCTGGAGATTTATATCCCAAATGCATTCAAAATTCTCACTATCTGTTTAGCAAGCTTCTTTAATTTAGTAATCTGAACAATTCTGTTTTTAAGTACATCCTCCATCTTATTTAACAGTACAAATTGACAAATATGAATTACATTCCTGGTGTGTAATAAATTAAACTTATGCTGTCAAACAGGTTTTAGTATAACACTTTTCATCAATCCAAACACATGGATGTAAATTAATATCAAATGTACATCCATCAATTGTAGCAACATCTTCACAGGACTTTCTTAAAACACATTAATATCCATTTGTTACACACCTTTTATCTTCAAATATTGAAGCACAAGCTGAGTCCAAAGAATAATTGTAATCAAAACAATTTTTTGTACGACACCCACCTTTTTAACATGTAGAAAGGAACCCTTCACAATCAGAATGAGATTGGGCAAGTGAAGGTCCGTTCTCACAAATCCTTTCTAAACAAATACTTTTATCCTCATTCCAGAAACAATTTACTCCACTTAAATTCTTTTGCCCTTCACTTTGGCATTAAGTATTAGTGTATTTCATACATAATGCTTGACTAATTTCACATCCATTAAAGTTTGCATTTACAGTACATGAATCACCAAAATACTATTGACAACTATGTGCTGAATAGATTTTTAATTGTGCAGTTGTACATTTCTTAATGGTACATTTATTTTCACTTATTATCCACTCACATTCGATATTATTTGAATCAATTTAGCATTGCTCTTAGATTGAATATTTACTGCACTCATTTAATTATTGACATCCATTCAAAGTTTCATTAACTGTACAAGATTTTAAACTTTAGTTACATTTTTCATGGTTTTGAAATGAAATTGGTAAGTTCGAACATGTTAAATTAACACATTGACCTGATGATAACTAATAGTAGCATTCATTCCCATTTTAGTCTAAATAACATTAAGTTTTCTTTGCTAAAGGACAAGATAATGGAAGGTCTACACATTGAATCAGATCTAGTTTGACAGTGCAACTTTAGTTTAAATGAAAGGATTCACATAGTTAATGAGTATTATTTGAAATATTTGTTTATGTACAATCTTCCATACATTGATTATTATTGATATTCCATTAACAATTAACCAACCAACTATCGCATTCTGATTGATTTTACGAAGGAGATGGTTTATTTGAACATGTTTTTTCTAAACATTGAGTATCATTCCAAAAGCAAGGGATGCCTTATGAATTGATGTTATTTAAGCACAAGGTACTTGTAGAATACTTGCTACAATCACCAAGGCTTTAACAGATTGAACCATCCCAAAAGCATTTTTCAGTAAAAATAGCACAGTCAGCACTCGTTATTAACGAATAACAATCTAGAATGTTGCATTCATAACTATTTAATTGCATACAAGAAGCATTGAAACTATGACAAGATGAGTTTGTATGGGAAGATATTAAATAAATTGCAGCTTCACAAATATTTAAACAAACATTAGAATACCAATAACAGTCTAGACCATCTATTGTTTTTTCACAAGCTTCTTAATATGTGTAATCTGAACATCTTTATAATTTGACTGTGCATTTGTTGCTTATTGTAAATTAGATTGTTGATAAGACATTTACACTATTGCAATCTTAATGTGATTCAGGTGAAGTCATGTTTTAGTGATATTTGAATTAGTTATTAGTTAATAAATAAAATCAATAATACTTGAATTACAGTAACTATGATTTGAACATTGAGATGTGTAAAGTGAACACCAATAACATTTTGTGACTGTTGTTGAAATATAACCATAACTATTTTCGCAATCAGATTATATTGTAAACTCTGAACACTATTTATTAGTGCATTAATTTATATCACTCAACCATTTACATTTTTACCCATCAACAACTTAAGCTGAAATACATATGTTAGAGCTTGTGATTACATTACAATCCGTAAAGGCACATCCTTAACCCTTAGTGTAATTTAATCTGCAGTATCTACTGTTTATTAATAAGCATTCATGATTAGTCACTGCTGTTGTGTTCAGATCACAATTAACATTATTTACACAATTACCCTCCTACCATTAGCATGAATTAGAATAACATTATTAAATAAAGACAATAGTTGTACAATCACCTGAGAATGTCTTACAACCAGTAACATCATAAACACAGTTATATTTCCAATTAAAGCAAGTTAATTAAGAAATGACTTGATTTGAGGTTAAATGCTCACATCTTCTTTCCTTACAAGTATTGGTCTATTAATTATATCCACATTGTGTTTAAGACTCAGTAATAGATGAATTACAAAGAGATTATGAGCCTACCTAAAAGCTACATTCAGTTAATAATACACAGCAATCACAAGTTGTATCATATTTATATGAGGATGAATAGTTTTAACATTATTCCCGCTTTTCTGAGAGAGTTGAAAAGGATTAAAAGGTTAAATTCATTTATGCTGTTTATTCAAGGCAATAATAACTGCAAGTGATAGAATTACATTAATATACATATTAACATAATTATCCAAAATATGTTTTTTTCCCATCACAATTACTATAAGAAAGATATTTATTAGAACAAGTATCATCATAACGACATTTATCTTATAAGTGGCATTTCAAATTTTATCTCATGATGGCATTGTTGCAAACATTATTTGACAGATATGCACAATCCTAAAAAGAATAACATCCTTATCCACTTGATTATAGAGCACAGTCAGTATTATATAATTGACAAAAATCATTACTTTTACTTTCAGTAATTGCCTCACATTAGTGAGATTGTACTTTCTAACAGAGAGAATTAAAATAATAGCATCTATCATTAAACAAAGTTAGAGTTAATTTACAAATGACAGAATCAGTAATCTATCCACATGAGGTGGGTCTCTTCTCACAACCAGGTCCATATGCCCCGTTAGATTTAATTATCAACTGACATTCATTATTTTTTCTGAACCTTAGACATTCAGCTTCAGTTTAAGCAGTAATATTGTCAATACAATCTACTTCTTTACATTTGTAATTAAAATAATCCCATTTACAAGGTTACTAATATATAGTAATTTCACATTGTTATTTCTATTGATAATCGCAATAATATGAAAGGTTTGAACATGATTTAACAATATTATTTAATGTGCATTTTGGCATGAAGTTTTCACAATCCTAATGAGTTAAATCACCATATAGTCTCTTATGACAATCAGCTATTCCATTGTCATCTTCATCCTCATGCATACAACTTTGTTCTTTATCATCCCAATAGCAAATTTATCCATTTATATTTTTCTTACAATTCCTTTCCCTGATGAATTCATAACAACTTGCCTTCTTTAGTTCACATCCTTCAGCTATAAAGGAAGAAATTACTGTGCATTTAGGATTCCAAGCAAAACATTCTTAATGAGTAATATATATGCTCATGTTTGGAAAAGATGAGCAAGCAATGTGATTAGGTCGATCTTTGCATCCACCAAAGATGTGATCAAAAATGCAATTATTCAACCAAGTATTGCATTAAACATTATTAGTGTAATTATTTTTAGGAGCATCTAAACATTGTTATTTCTTACAATAAGCACCTGTCCAAAAACACTTTGTTCCATCTTATAGATTTAATTAACATTATTATTGACTTATCATTTCATTACAATTATCTGACCATTTTATACATCCAAATCCTGAAGATCCTATAATGCAAGGACCAACAAAAACCTTAAATGATTTGCAATCATCATTTTTTAAATGTAAATTAGGATCTGCATCTGAGAATTCTTAATCAATACATCTTTAACTACCTCCATCCCATTTACAATTAAGCCCTGAAAGTGTTGTAAAGCATTAATCTTGCGTAGAAAGCAGACAGCTACTCTTTTTATCTACACAACCAATTAAAATTTTTGAATCAGATACAAGTTACACATTAACTGTGCATTTGGGCATCCACCCTTCACATTTCTAATTAGTATCATAAGATGGAGGAGCAGTTTTGCATTACTTCTCTATACATACCGAATTCAACACGCAGACAGTATTGGTAGAATCAATTGTACAAAACTCTTTCTCTCCAATATTTTCACACAAATAATCTGCACAACCAAAAGAATCAGAATTAAAAGTGCAAAATTAACTTGCCTTTTAGCATATATTATGATTTTTGTAGTATGGTAATTTCAACTTTTTACATTCTAACAATACACACTAACCTTCAAGCCAAATGCACCTTTCTTTATTGTAATTAAATTCGCAAAATTCTTCTTCCAATATCTCTTCACATAATTAAGGTGTCTTTTAACATCCTCCATTTAATTATCCTATGCAATTCCCATATTAATGACATTCTTTAGGACTATAATCAATCGGAGCATGATAACATTATCTTTATTCACATTTATCATTATGCCATATACAATCCTATTATTCTATCGAATAACAATCAATTTCATAATCATAACCATAACATGTTTCAGGTCTATTTTTACATCCTTTGTTTTATGAAGTAACACAATCCAATAGATTGTCATAATCCTAGCATTACTGATAGGTCTTATAGGAATCTGGAGCAGTGTAACAGCTCTTTATTTTACATTAATTTTAATGATATTCGCATTTTTTACCCTAAGCATCAGTTACACATCCAAATTTATTCTCAGCATCAATACACTACAATCTTTTTACACAATGAATTCCATTAGTTGTACAATCACTTAAATATGTCTTACCTTCATAATCCTAAGTAAATGGCAAATTTTCACACTCCTTTTCAATACATTTACCTCTTGTTGAATCCCAGAAACAATTATCTTTTCTAGATTTACTTTCAAAACATTAAAAATTATTAAAATATTATGAACATGATTCCATTTATTTGATACATCCATAACCTTTCTAACTTACAGTACACCCTTCAAGACCCTCTTTGCACATGCTATGATTAGTTAAATATATTGGTAACTCTTCGCACATAGTTACATTTGTACATTTTTCTCTGTCCCCACAATCCAAAAACAATACCTACCATTCTAATTTTTATTCGCACACTCATTCTCAGTTTTATAATCACTACATTCTAACATCATAATACACTTTGAGCCATCTGACACACATTTATATGATGATTCTTAACAATTATCTTTATCGAATATACTACAATCTATGAAATCCATACATTAACCAAAATAAAAGCCACATTACTCCTATTCTCGACAATCTTTTTATGAATAATTTCGGCATGGATTCTAATTATTAACCTCTACCTTATATGATTTCATGGAATTCAAAATACACTAATCCTTCTCCCAAATGCAAATACCAGAGTTTTTACATTCATTTTAACTTTGAACATGCCCACAAACGCATTATTTTGATATATCTGAATTCCTTATTACAACTAATCGAATGAACAGAAGATAATAGAAAATATTTAAAATCATTTAATAAAAAATTATTTAAAATAAAAATCTTAATCTAAATTTGAGTAATTTATTTTAATATTACTATTTAACAATAAACTGTAATTTTCTTTATTCTAAGAAAAAATAAATTATTTAATTTAATACTAATATTCAAAGTCATAATATTGATATTTTATATTTTAAATAATTTTCTATTATGTTTGGTTAAAATGAAATAATTTTATTAAGAAAAATTTTGATTAGGTTAATTAAGAAAGTTTTATAATAAGATTTCAATTTTTTATAAAGTTTTGAACATAAAAAAAATTTCTAGCCAAGAATTAGTC